AAATCATGCTTCCTTCTAAACTTAAAATACCAAATTCAGGAGGGGGAGGGTGCAGGGATACATGAAGCTTTGACTGTATGTATAATATTTTTATTTCTTTTAAAAAATGGAAGCTATTATATCAAAAGATAAAGACCAAGATTTGTTAGGCCTGGGTGGTTTACCCACAGGTCTTTTTAAAGTTATTCTCTGTACTTTTCAGTATAAATATTAAAAAGTAAATTTCTTCCCATCATATATCAGTTGTGATTAGGGAGTAATCAGTTCTGATTAGAACAGGAAAACCAAGAGCCAAATCTATTGGCTTCATCACTTTTATCTTCCACAGCATCAAGTACACAGCAGATGCTAAATGCCTATTGAATTATCCACCATATACCTAAAAAAATTGCACAAAACCAAAAATACCCCAAAGCCCAACAACTAAGAACATATCAGCATTCAATATTCAGAGCTACAGACACAGCAGAAATATGGAACATTTTCATCCTGGCATAAAGTTCTACAGAACAGTGCTATTCTGGATCAAAGTTTCCTAACAATAAAGGGAAATATTAATCTCCCCAGCCCTCGGTTACCTATAACAATGATTTTCAACCTTTTTCATCTCATGGCACACATAAAATAATTACTAAAATTCTGTGGCACATCAAAAAATACGTATTTTTAAAAAATATATATTTTATTGATTTTTTAGAGAGAGAAAGAGAGGGGGACAGAGAGCCAGAAACATCGATGAGAGAAAATCATCCATCAGCTGCCTCCTGCAAACCCCCCACTGGGGATGTGCCCGCAACCAAGGTACATGCCCTTGACCGGAATTGAACTTGGGACCCTTCAGTCCGCAGGCCGATGCTCTATTCACTGAGCCAAACCGGTTTTGGCTGTATTTTTTTGCCAACCTGACAAAAAACTAAAAGGTATAATTTTGATTCACTCCCACCAGACAACTCGGGTTGTGTTGGCTGTCGTCATTTTTTTTTTTTTTTTTAACTTGACAATCTAGTCATGCTGGCATGGCTCAGTGGTTGAGCACTGACCTATATGAACCAGGAGGTCATGGTTCAATTCCCGTGCAGGAGGCAGCCATCAATGATTCTCTATTATTGGTGTCTCTCCCTCTTCATTCCTTTCTGAAATCAAAAATATATTTAGCCGAAACCGGTTTGGCTCAGTGGATAGAGCGTCGGACTGCAGACTGAAGAGTCCTGGTCAAGGACATGTACCTTGGTTGCAGGCACATCCCCAGTGAGGGGTATGCAGGAGGCGGCTGATAGATGTTTCTCTCTCATCGATGTTTCTGACTCTCTATTCCTCTCAGTAATCAATAAAATGCATTAAAATATATATATATATATATATTTTTAAATAAACTTGACAATCTGAGGGGAAAAAAGGTCAGTGCCCCTGACTAAATAGGTATTGCATGTTAAAAAAAACCCTTGACACACACACACACCAGCTGAAAATCTCTGGCCTAGAGCAAAAGAAGGTCCTACTACCCGCCCCCCCCCCCCAAAGCCTTAAGCAACTGTGACCTCGATTTTCTACTTAGTTGTGCCATCAGCGTTGGGAGTTTAAAATGTTAACCTCGCCAAGACCGGTTTGGCTCAATGGACAGAGCGTCGGCTTGGGGACTGAAGGGTCCCGGGTTCGATTCCGGTCAAGGGCATGTACCTTGGTTGCGGGCATATCCCCAGTGGGGGGTGTGCAAGAGGCAGCTGATCGATGACTCTCTCTCATCGATGTTTCTAACTCTCTATCTCTCTCCCTTCCTCTCTGTACAAAATCAATAAAATATTAAAAAAAATAAAAAAATAAAAAAAAATAAAATAAAATGTTAACCTCCCCCAATTCATCTTACCAAGCTTTGTTACTCAGATTCCAATCAATGTCCACCACAGACCGGAGGAGCTGGCACCCCAATGAACAAAATAAGAAGCGGCACCAGGGAGTCAGGCCGCAGGCCGACTTTGGCTCAAATCCTTGCTCGGAAAGCTACTATACCGGGGGGTGGGGGACCTTAGGCGGGTTTCCCCTAACTAGTTCACCTGTAACATAACAATAATAAAAGTGTGTACGTCGCAGGTGTTGCTGTGAGGTTAAGCTAAATAAAATGTAAAATTAGGTTCTTCAGTCACCTCGGAAGTGATGCAACTGACCAGCGCTCACACGGAGAACAATTATTTGCAAACGAAGAGTTTTAAGGGTCGGCTCCGGGGAGACGGGGTTGGGGAAACTCGGGCCTGAGGAGAACTGGCCTCCGAACACGGTTAACTTCCGGGATCGCTCGGACTTCCTGTCTTCCCCGCCCCCACCCCGACCGAGGGCCTCTCAGAAACCCCGAAACCAGCGGGATTCCGGCGCCTCAGCCCTGACGGTTGGCGCCGCCGAGAACGGCCGAACCTTCTCAGGGCGCGGGGTTCCACTGGGGGCGTCCCTAAGTTCCGCACCCCGGGGCCAAGGTAGGAAGTTATTCCGGAGCCAGAAGTGGGGAGAAGGAAGCGCCCTCACCTGCAGCCGGAAAGACGCAGTCGGGCTCGCGAACCCGCCGCCGTTTGTTTGTTTCTCCGGCGAAATTCACGTCGCCCGACTACGACCTCCCTTCCTCAGCAGCTCAAGCTGCCCGCCTAAATGGCGGCCGCGGCTTGTTCCTATTGGGCAGTAGTCCCCGACCGCCGACCAATACCCTCTCTTCTTCTTCCTTTGGTCGCCGCTGGCTAAAAGAGCGGCGCTCTCATTGGCTGTTCCTTCTCAAACTGAAGAGGCGGGACCGCGCGCGAGGAGGCCTCTTACAATTGGCTAAAAGCTACGGCCCGCCCCCTCGCGTTCAGCCCCCAAACGGGTCGGAGGAAGGCTCCCTACCGCTCTTTATTTGAACTTTTTGGCGGAAAAAAAGTTTATCGGTACATTTTGGTGGAGATGAAAATATTAAAATGGTGGCTCCTGCTGCTTCTCCCTAACTGTTTAGTAAAGGAGCTGTCTTTAGCCAAAGGCCGGTAATTAATAATAATTTCAAAGTACCCTCCTCCTTCCCCATCCCGTTTGTATATATATTCTCTCTTGGGTTTGGAGAGAGCATGCGAATTTGCTAACATGATCTCTTCAATCCCAAAGCACTACAATAAATTTCCTGCTACTAAACTGTTGTCACATCACTTTATCAGCTCATATTTTTCAGGCATCTTTCTGAAAGATGAAATCTCGCTAAAATCTAAACCTTGGCACAGACTGCACATTGCCGGAATTTTATTTACTCCGCTGCCAATTTTCAGTGGAAGTGATAAGCAGAGGAGAGCATAAATAATTGAAAATCTTGGCCAATACGAGTAATTACAATATTTTTATTCTGCAAAACCAGCATTAGTATTTTTACTTTTCCCCCTTTCCTTGCTGTAGCTACTGAGCTTTTAGCGTGTCTACTCTCTTGGCTAAAGAAGTTTGTACAACACGTACGGCTGCTTGGTGAAAATTACAGAATGTTGTTAGATGGTTCTGAAAGTATTGTATATTCATTCATGTCCACCTAATGGCCAGGTTCAGAGGAAGAGAATAAACAAAGCCAGAAATATATATAGTCTTGTCTCCAATTTTTAAAAGTTACATATAGTTAGGGGGGAAAAATGTGTTGGCTGTGTTCCCTTTAAGAGTGAAATTCCAAACTTTATGGGTAGAAAATACCAACCTTTCTATTGGCGCGTGGAACCTAAGAAGATTCATTTGATATGAATCACGAGAAGGAATATATCTGCTGAGATGGACTCCCATGATCAACCAAGGGCCCACATTTTACAAATAATAAGGGCTGAGCCACTGTTTGCTGGCAGGGGCTTCTCATGTGCTCTAAATACCAAGCAGAGTCTCCAGCACTAGGCTCTACTTGTTTATGTCTTTCTAGTCAACTGTGAGGGCGCTCCTAAGACCTGCCCTGTCCAATCAGAACTGTCCCGTGGTGACCAATCAATCAGGAGTGGAAGGGTGTGATTATAAAGGAGCATGATAAAACTTTAGTACTTGATCGATATGTTCACTATCTTGATTGTGGTAGTATCTACATAAAAACTTATCAAATTGCACAGTTTAGCCTAAACTGGTTTGGCTCAGTAGATAGAGCGCCAGCCTGGGGACTGAAGGGTCCCAGGTTTGATTCAGGTCAAGGGCATGTACCTTATTTGTGGGTACATCCCCAGTAGGGGGTGTGCAGGAGGCAGCTGATGGATGTTTCTCTCTCATCAATATTTCTCTCTCTCTCTCCCTTCCTCTCTAAAAAGTCAATGGAAATATTTTTAAAAATAAGGAAATTGAAGATTAAAAAATAAAATCAAGTGAATAAAAAACCTGATGAACAGAATAAACAGGTGAATATAATAGAATCAGGGGCATAAAAAGGGAGTGGACTGACAATTCTGGGTGGGGGAAGTGGTGTGGGGGGTGGGGGAAGAGACTGGACAAAAATTGTATACCTATGGATGAGGACAGTGGGGGGTAAAGGAAGAGGGTGGGGTGGAAACTGGGTGGAGGGGAGCAATGAGGGGGAAAAGAGGAACAATTGTAATAATCTGAACAATAAAGATTTATTAAACTTTTTTTTGATGAGATGCCAACCTTTAAAAATATGACAACTTACAGAGAAATCTGGATATCCAGCTTCTTCTGACAAAATGTAAAGCTCTGTAAACACTTGCCTGATTTTAAAAAAAAAAAAAAAAAGGCTGAAGTGAGCAGAGGCTGTCCTTAACAATGCTCATCTGTTCACCGAACCCCGCTTCAGGCTAGCACACTCATGGGGTTTTCTTCTGAGACACAATGGCCATTAGAGTTTGCAATATCTGGTAGAAAAACTCTGGAAGTTCATATAGGAAGTAAGGTTGGGGTCAGAGACACAGGCCAGGGGTACCCTAATGGGGAGTTTGTATTTCAGTCAATGGTCAAAAGGAAGACTGAACAGTGTTTGCTTAGTTACTACCATTGTGTAACAAATAATCCCAAAACTTAGTGGCTTAAGACAACAATAATTTATTTAGGTCATAATTTTGTGAATGGGCAGTTTTAAAAAACAAAATATTTTTATTGATTTCAGAGAGGAAGGGAGAGAGAGAAACATCATTGATGAGAATCAGATTGGCTGCCTCCTGCATACCCCCTACCCGGACCTGCAACCTGGGCATGCTCCCTCTACCGGAATTGAACCCAGGACCCTTCAATCTGCAGGTCAATGCTCTAGCCACTGAGCCAAACTGGTGAGGGCTAAAGGGACAGTTTGGTCTGGTTCAGCTGTGTGGTTCTTCTGGTGTTGACTGGCCTCACTCATGTGACTGGGCCAACTGGGTTCAGTTGTCCCTGCTTTATGGATCTCTTATTCTCCAGCACAGTACCCCAGTTCATGTCTGGGTAGGGTTCCAGGAGAGGCAGTGGAAATGTATAAGGCCTCTTGAAGCCTTGGCTTGGAATGGGCACACCATCACTTCTGCATTTTATTGGCCAAAGCCACTCACAATACTAGCCTAGATTCAAGTAGTGGAGAAGTTAGTTTTATTTTCCCCCCCTTTCAAAGAATCATTTTATGTGGAAAGTTTTAAGCATATTCAGAAGAGAAGACTACATGAACCACTATGTACCCATCATCCAGATTCAGTAGTTAGCAACTCATGGCTAATCTTATTTTACTTTTTTCTTTAACAATAATTATTTCCCTTTCCCACCTGGATTGTTTAAAATTAAACCCCAGATATATCATTGCATCATCTATAAACCTTTTAGTTTGTAAGAGAGAGTATTTCTTTTCAATTGAAATATAATTGACATACCATGACATATTAGTTTCATGTGTAGATTCCATTTTGCCATGGGAGAAGCTGCAAAGTCACAGTGCTAAGAGGTGTCCATACAGAGAGAGATAAAATGTCTCCCTCTGTTTGTGAAACATCTATCACAGTTATCAGAGACATATTTTTGACAGTATCGTTTAGAGGGGGATGTGCTCTGCAGGACTGGACTGTTTTCTCTTTGTAACAGAGAAGGGCTGCCTCCCTAAACCCATGAATAACTTCATGCTTAGGATAGGAGAGAGACAGATGCCCAGCTTTCGCCTCTTCCAGTTTCTTATTCAGGGGACTTCTTAGTTTCAGTTTCAGACCACAACTTGGAAAAGATAGTCAGTTTCTCTGAGATTTCTGTGAATAAATGAACAGAAAGTTAGACAAGAGAAGGGAGCTGAAAGCCAAGCTAGAAGCACAAAGATGTTTCTACACTGCACTCCCTTTGGCCTGGCTGGGTGGAGCCTAAACCACCATCTGCATTCATGCCTTAGTGATCTGATGTTCCTTCTTACTTGGTCAACTTCTCAAATACAAGTAGCTTCTCAAATACAAAGAAGGGATAAATTCCTATCTTAGTACAAATTAGTCTCAGTTTTAGATTCTCTAATACCAGGGTGACCCTGAGTTGCAAGGGAGCCTAGAAGAGGGAAGAAGGAAAGAAGGAAGGGGAATGGAGGGGAGGGGAAAGGAGGGGAGGAGAGAGAGAGAGAGAGAGAGAGAGAGAGAGAGAGAGAGAGAGAGAGAGAGAGTGAGAATATGAATATGATATAGTGACTATAGGCTGGAATAATCTACCTCCCCAACCCACTTTAGACTAAACATCATCCCTTAACACAGCGTTTCTGAAATCCGGTAGTATTGATATTCGGGCTATAGAATTCTTTGTTGTCCTGTGCATTGTAGGATATTGAGTAGCATCTCTCTACTAGATGCCAGTAGTATGACCTACCCCACCCATCTTCCCTGAGTTGTGACAACCAAAAATGTCTCTAGACATTACCAAATGCCCCCGAGGGGCAAAAATCACCCCTGCTTGTGAACCATAAAGGAAATCTTTCACAAATGTGAACCAACACATGTGACTCATATTCTTCAGATCAGAGAGGACCTTACTTACCCTTAACAGAGGGCCGCCTGGAGGGCTCGTAAGCCCGGCAACTATCAATGATCTCCCGCAACTGTGGAGGGCAATCTTCACCCAGTGGCTCCTGGTACTGATCCTTAACCACCAGCTGGCAGATCTTTTTAGAATCATAGCCTGGCATAGAAACAAGAGGACGAGAGGCTTAAATATTGTCCTGCCACTCACACATCTCTCTGGATGATGATTGCTGGCATCAGACGTAGGGACTTTACTGAAGAAACAAGAGCTTCCAATGACTTCACTGACCAGCCCAGGCAGTGCCCACATCGGAGAACAAAGCACCAGGACAGCACTGATGGGGAATTTCTAGCCTTCTGGAAAGGGCCCCAATCCCAGCACCTTCTGAGCCAACCTTCACCCTGGTTACCTTCAAACGGGATCTTCCCAGTGATGATTTCCCAGAGGACAATTCCAAAGCTGAAAGAAAACCAAGAAGCTGAACAATCGGAATGTTTTGTTTTCCCACACCTCTTAGCCATTTCTAGAAACTTCAGTGAATTTTTTGATTCTCACCGAATTCCATTCAATAGAGTAGAGGTATGATGATGGTGTTTGGATGTGGAGTTTGACTTGGGCTTTCCTATTCTGTTTATTTGAGTGAGAGTCTGAGCAATAACATGAACATACCTGTATATTTCAGCTTTTATATCTTTTTTAATATACGGATTTTTCATTGTTTGAGGTGAGAAATATGCTGTGGAATTGACCCTCTCTTCTTTTTTTCTCTTAGTTGTTCTGCCGATGGAAGTCTGTGTTTCGCTCAACTTAAATCCTGAAAGCTAGAAAGAAAGGTGAATTAGAGATAGAAACAACACGATCTTGGGTTGGCAGTAGTGGGCAAGGGCTTGGTGCTACACATGATTGCCAGGGATAGTCTTTTACCTTTGAAATGTATTTCCAGTGGTGTCTTCTCTTTGTGTGGCTACCATACTGGCTGGCATTATGGGTTTAATTTATTATGGTGTATTAACTAAGAGAAACAAAGAGGTTTCTTCTCTATAAAATGGGGCAATGAGGATTACCTGAGATCCTATCTAATAAAAGAGTAATATGCAGATTGACCATCACTCCAACACACAAGATGGCCATTCCATATGGTCAAAGATGGACGCCCCCATGTGGACACAAGATGGCCACCACAAGATGGCTGGGGGGGGGGCAGTTGGGGGCGACCAGGCCTGCTAGGGAGGGCAGTTAGGGGAGACTGGGTTGGCAGAGGAGAGCAGTTGGGGGCAATCAGACTTCCAGGGGAGGACAGTTTTGGAGGGACCCAGGCCTGCAGGGGAGGGCATTTGGGGGGAACCAGGCCAGCAGGGGAGAGCAATTGGCGGGGACCAGGCCAACAGGGAGGGCAGTTAGGGGCGACCAGACAGGCAAGGAAGGGCAGTTAGGGGTTACTTGGGCCAGCAAGAGAGGGCAGTTGGGGATGACCAGTCCGGCAGGGGAGGGTAGTTAGGGGCAATTGGGCCAGCAGGGGAGCAGTTAGGTGTTGATCAGGCTGGCAGGGGAGTGGTAGGGGCAATCAGGCAGGCAGGCAGGCAGGTGTGTGGTTGGGAGCCAGCAGTCCTGGATTGTGAGATGGATGTCCAACTGCTAAGCAGGTGGTGAGTGAAGACAGGCATCCTAACAGCACACGGAAAGCGGTCCAGGCAGGGAAAGAGTTTTGAGTTCTGTTCTAAGGTTAAGGCAGAGAAGCGATCAGGCACAGCCTTTCTGGGAAACAGGTGTCCCTCTCCCAGCACCAAACAGTCACAAAGGTTGAATACAAAGAGCCCCCTGGAAGGCCATGCTCACCTTCACTCGGTAGTCTTTAGTTACTAGGAAGCTCCTGCTGCTGATGTTTTTGTGGAGTTCAGGGGGTTCAGAATGGTGCAGCCTGTCGTGACCAAAGGCAGGGGGCGTTAGTGACCTTGGCAAGACCTTCCTGGGGGGCTCGAGAGTTATTATTGGAACAAGGAGGCTGGTCAGCGCCTTGCCTCTCCCCCTTGTATCTCAGTTGTGGGCTCAATCCCTGGTCAGGCAAGTGCTGGAGGCAACCAATTGATGTGTCACTTTCACATTGATGTTTCTCTCTCTCTGTCTCTCTCCCTCCCACTTTTCCTAAAAATCAATGGAAAAATATCCTCGGGTAAGGATTAACAACAACAAAAATGTAAGGAAGGGGAGATTATCTTGGGCTTCTGGCTAGTTCTCTCATCTCTGGGATTAACATTTGGGGAGGAAGACTCATTCTGTTCTTCTGAGCATCCTTTCAACCCACATGGTACCTGCATAAGCCATTGGCTGCCCCCCTGGCCAGGGTGATGCGGTCAGCCAATGTGAGGTCCTTTTTCTTATCCAGCAGTTCCCTCAGGGTCCCGAGCTCACAGTAGTCCATGACAATGGAGAATTGAGGTGGGGTCACTGATGGAAAGAAGATCAGCCTCACTCAGAGGTCCTGCTCTGCAGCCCGTCTCCTGCTATCACTACAGATGCAGACTCAGCGCTGCACTGCTTCTCCCCTCCTCTAACCCGCTCTCACAGTTTGCATCCTGACCTCATTGAATGGGTCAAATACCCACAGAACTCCCATACCCCTTCTTTCTAGTATTTGGCATGTCAGAATTATACATGTTGGAATTATTTGAGTAATGTCCCCCCCCACACACTCAAGTTCAAGCCCCAGGGGGCAGGGTCTGCTTTGTTCACATCCCCAGATGCAAGAACCAACACTCAAAGAATGAATCAGTCACCTCAGCCATCCCCCAGGAGACCAAATATCACTGGAAAGTTTTCCTTTAGTTGAGGGAAGCTGTGTCCCCTCCGTAGGCAAGAGCAACAATGCATAACCCACAGGAGAGGCCATGCTATGAGGGAAAATGCAGCCCCATTAAAAAATGAAAATGAAAAAGAATCTGATGCATGAAGCTCTTGGTTGAGGGGCAGGTTAATTGAGTCTTGGGGTTTGATCTACCCTAATGAGGATCCAGGGTAGATTCCTTAAACTGATCAGTCAGCTTTATAATGTTTTATTGCAACAAAAAAAAAATGCTTCCATCATTCAGGCCAATATCTGAACAAGATCCCCAGTAGCCTGGGAGAAGAGGATGTGGCCAAGTTAGTATAAATCAGCCCTCGGGCTGAAGCCAAATTCAAGCCCTTGTTTCCTGGAAGGATATGGGAACCTACATCTTGGGATGCAGAAAAACTAACACTGATCATAACAACACTGTGTAGATCCCACCCTTTCGGCTCTTCTTTAAAAACGCAGTGCCTTGTAAGATATAGGACAGACCACCAAAAGAAGGACCAACCCCAGAAGCACTCCTTACCTGTTTCATCAATGCAAATCCCATATATATGCAGGATGTCAGGAGAATCAAATTTCTTCATGGTCATGGCCTCATTTTTGAAAACACGCCTCACCATGCTATGAGGATGAAGGGGACAATTAAGATTTCAAGATGGGAGGGTCCCTCTGAGAACATTTAGTGTAGGGACCATCTGTGCATGTGTGGGGGATTGTCAGCATCCTGGGGTGAGATGAGCTTGGCCACTGATGGCAGTGTTTAGCAGCAGAATTAGCATGCACGATACAGCCTACAACATAGATTTACCTTGAAAATATCGTGCTAAGTGAAAGAAGCCAAACACAAAAGGCCACATATCGTATCATTCCATGTGTGCAATATCCGGAACAAACAAATTCATAGAGACAGAAAGTAGATTAGTAGGTGCCTAGGGCTAGAGATGGTGCGGGTAGCAGTATATAGGGAGTAACTGCTAAAGGGTATAGGGTTTCCTTGAGGGATGATGCAAATGTCCTAAAATCACTTTATGGCAAGGGTTGTACAACTCTGTACATTAAAAGCCATTAAGTTATACACTTTAAATGGGTGAATCTTATGGTATGTAAATCATGTTCCAATAAAATTGTTAAAAATACTACCCCAGCCAAAACCAGTTTGGCTCAATGGATAGAGTGTTGGCTTGCGGACTGAAGGGTCCCGGGTTTGATTCCAGTCAAGGGCATGTACCTGGGTTACGGGCACATCCCCAGTAGGGGGTGTGCAGGAGGCAGCTGATCGATGTTTCTCTCTCATCGATGTTTCTAACTCTTTATCCCTCTCCCTTCCTCTCTGTAAAAAAATCAATAAAAATATATTAAAAAAATACTATCCCAATCAAAGTTTAAAAAAAATATATATTTTATTGATTTTTTACAGAGAGGAAGAGAAAGGGATAGAGAGTTAGAAACATCGATGAGAGAGAATCATCAATCAGCTGCCTCGTGCACACCCCCTACCGGGGATGTGCCCGCAACCAAGGTACGTGCCCTTGACCGGAATCGAACCCGGGACCTTTCAGTCCACAGGCCGACGCTCTATCCACTGAGCCAAACCAGTTTCGGCTCAATCAAAATCTTAATGGGTATGTTGAGGAAGGTGATATTTATTTAGATTAGTAAACCTGAGAAAGAAGAGCCAAGATGGAAGGAGTTACCTTACTAGATACTCAGAATTACTATTCAACTAAAATTTGCTGCTAGCTTATACAACTAAATAAAAGAAAGATGAATGATCCAATCAAAAAATGGGCAATGGACCTAAATAGAATATTTTCAAAAGAAGACAGAAGGAAGGCCAAGAGGCACATGAAAACATGCTCAAAGTCACTAATTATCCGAGAGATGCAAATCAAAACAACAATGCGGTACCATCTCAAACCTGTCAGAATGGCCAACATCAACAAGTCAACAAACGACAAGTGTTGGCGAGGTTGCGGAGAAAAAGGAACCCTCGTGCACTGCTGGTGGGAATGCAGACTGCTACAACCACTGTGGAGAACAGTATGGAGTTTCCTCAAAAAACTGAAAACGGAACTCCCATTTGACCCAGTAATCCCACTCCTAGGAATATATCCCAAGAAACCAGAAACACCAATTAGAAAGGATATATGCACCCTTATGTTCATAGCAGCACAATCTACAATAGTTAGAATTTGGAAACAGCTTAGGTGCCCATCAGCAGATGATTGGATCAAAAAACTATGATACATCTACACAATGGAATATTATGCTGCCATAAAAAGAAGGAATTCTCATCATTTGCAGCAACCTGGATGGAATTGGGGAACATCATGCTGAGTGAAATAAGCCAATCAATGAAAGAGAAACACCACATGACCTCACTCATTTATGGATAATAAACAACAGTATAAACTGATGAACCAAAAGATAGATATAGAGACAGTAAAGCAACAAGCAGACTGTCAAATTACAGTAGGGAGGGTAGGGAGATCTGGGGGAGGTAATAGATCAACCGAAGGAGTTGTATGCATGCATATAAGTACAACCAATGGACACAAAACTCTGGGGCGGGAGGATATGAATGGGAGGGGGGGGTGAATGGTAAGATATGTACACAGATAATAATTTAATAATAAAAAAAGATAAAAAATAAAAATAAAATAAAATTTGCTGCTAAATAAGTGAATAAAAAGAAATTCTACTCTTTTGTAAAAAATCATTAAAAAAAAAAAAAAAAGAGTAGAGGGCAAGTCATTTCAGCCTATGGGGCCCCGTTCTCCCATCTAATGGAGACAATGCACCTCTCTCCTCCGGGAGTTATAGAGAGGAAGTGAAATGATACATGAGAGAACTATACAAAAGGACTTACTTAGGGTGTCTGCTCTGGACATTGTTGAATACTTTTATGGCCACTGTAGATTCGAAATATTTTCCTTCAAAAACTTCGCTGAATTCGTTTTTCTTTAGCGATTTCAAAACTGAAATATCCTTCTTATTAATCTCCTTGACTTCATACGTTAGGATCGCCTTCCTTGACTTCTCTATGTCTGACCGTAGGACAGAAGGAAATAAAGAGTCAATGAGCTGAGGAAGGTGTCCTAAGGAAAGAGGTGTCTCTGTAAACTTGTAAGTGGGAAGCCTCACGCCATGACGCAGAGCTGGCCATGGCGGGACCTCCTGACTCTTCCAGAGCCTCTGAGTGAGCAGTAGAGACACAGCTGGATGGTTAACAAAAATGTGTCATGCATTTCCTTCCCCTCCTCTTCAAGTCCTGTCTGTCTCTCCAGCTTAAACCTCCATCTCAATCCATCTCTCTCATTTTGGAGGCCTTCCTACTCTTACTGCCACTTGAGCTCAGCACTTGAACGTTTGGCATCTTGTTTAGTCATTTCAGCTCTAACAGTGAGATACATAGTTCAAGCTGAGTGACTCCACTGCTGGCATGTGTTCACACGACTCTCTCTCCTCTCCCTCCCTCCTACCCGGTGGCTGTGAGCTCCCCTAAGGCAGGGGCTTTCTCTGTATCGGACTTGGCTCTATGTTCAAGTCTCTGAAAGCAGATACAGATTGGTTAAATGAGTGATGAAAGAGTATTTCCAATTTGATTCGAATTTGTTCTTGGAAATTCAGCAAAAGAAGCTTTGATACCAATAGATCCTCCCTTCCTCCAACTGATGGACGGAGTATGATGTAAACTGCACCTGCAGCCCGGACATTCCTGAGCATCTAACCAGGCACCTTATATGGACTACACATTGAACCACCAATCAGCACCTGCCAAATACCCTAAGCCCCCAATTCCTAAGCCCCTAAGTGACTAGTCATGTGCCTTATATGAAACCACCAATCAGCGCGTGCCGAGTACCCTAAGCCCCATCCCTTCCCTTTCTTCCCCTCAAAAGGCATGTTCACCCCTGCACACGTGCTCTCTTCCTTTGCAAGGCAGCCCGGCAGGGGTCCTTCTTCTCTAATACAGTCTGTAGTCCTGGTCTTCGGCCCTCTATCTCATCTTTCAGATACTATCTAGAGCAGTGGTCAGCAAACTCATTAGTCAACAGAGCCAAATATCAACAGTACAACAATTGAAATTTCTTTTGAGAACCAAATTTTTAAAACTTAAACTTCTTCTAATGTCATTTCTTCAAAATAGACTCACCCAGGCCACGGTATTTTGTGGAAGAGCCACACGCAAGGGGCCAAAGAGCCGCATATGGCTCATGAGCCGTAGTTTGCTGATCACGGATCTAGAGGAATTTGTCAGCACTTAGACCAGAATTAGAAGGTATCTTGTGGGTCAAGAATTACTTCAAATGCTACTCCACGGACAGAAGCCTGGGCTAAGTTAGGAGCACATCCGCAAACCTGTGGGCTGTTCCCAACCATCCAACCTAGAAAATGGGCAGTGGTGGAATGGGGAAAGACTGGAGTTCCTACTGAACAAATGACTTCTGGCTTGGGGGCAGTCAGAAGCAGCAGGTCTCAGGTAACTCACAGTGCTTAAAGATTTTTCCCACTTCATTTTTCACTTGCTCCACTGAAGCTTCGACAAATTCACTTTCTGCAGAAAAAAGAAAGAGTAGCAAATATTAAAAAAATAGAAATGCGAATTAAAAGCACACCGAGGTCCCATTTTCTCTAACTTAATCATATTCATTGCAGTAGGGATTACTACTACTGCTCTAGAATATTCACCTTTCTACATCTAAGCACACAGTAACTGCCTGGAAGCATGGCCGTGTCACTCGTGCCACTTGAAATGAAGTGAAAGAAATGAAAGAAGGAAGTTTGTGTCAACGGGTAAGTGCCGTAAACTTGAAAGTTCCTGGAAAGGACAGCTACCTCGGAGTCTCCTGGATGTTGCTTAAATAAGAAATAAAGTTTTCTTTATCTGAGTTGTTGTTGTTTTCTTCACACCATAGCATATTCTCATCTATCCTTATTTATATAATCAGAAATACATTTAAAAACTGATAGGACCTTGCCGAAACCGGTTTGGCTCAGTGGTAGAGCTTCGGTCTGCGGACTGAGGGGTCCCAGGTTCGATTCCGGTCAAGGGCATGTACCTGGGTTGCGGGCACATCCCTGGTGGGGGGTGTGCAAGGAGCAGCTGGTGGATATTTCTCTCTCATCCACGTTTCTAGCTCTCTATCTCTCTCCCTTCCTCTCTGTAAAAGTCAATAAAATATATTAAAAAAAAACAAAAAAACAAAACGGATAGGACCTTCAGTGCTAAAACCAATGAAGAAAAGTGTGGAGAAACACAATCTCATACATTGTTGGTAGGAATGATATTGATATAACCTCTGGCCATCTCTATTAAAATTTTAAGTGCTGGGGGAGGGGAGGAGGCTGGGGACATCAGTTAAAAAAAAAAAAAGTAAAGTGCTCATACTCTTTGACCCACATATAGGAATTGTTCCTAAAGATCTCCTGAAATATATACAAAGATGCTTAAGGCAGGACTATTTATAATTGTGGAAAACTGGGCACAACCCAAATGCCCATCAATAGGGAGTTGTTTAAATATATATGGCCCATGTATACACCAAGGAACCCAAGGCAACTCTCTGGAAATGAATATGGACGGATATTCAAGATTTAATGAGAAAAGCAAGAAGCAGAACAGTGTGTTTAGGATGCTACTGACTGTGTAACAATGACAAAAGAAATCTATATTCTTAAATATCTGAAGGCTATTCAACACACGGGTGACAGAGATCATATCTGGGGAGGAAACGTTCCTTTGAGGTCAAGAGTAAGGAGGAGATTTACTTCTCATGCTGGGCCCTTTTGGTGCCTTGTGAACGTATCACTTGATAAAACAGAAAGCAAATCCTGTCCTCCAAGTTCATGACACTAACATGCCTTCTCCCTTCACCCCCGGAAGTGGACCGATGAGTGCTGAAGATTAGGAAGGCTGCCCTTGCACACACCTCTCTCCCCTGGCCCCCGACCCCCGATTCTCTTTCTCTTTGTTGGGTGTTTGGTTGGAGGATTCCAGATGCCTCACTTTCCCTCGTCCAGAAAGGAACCCATCTTGCCCACAGGTCTCCTCTAGGCATGGTTTGTCCCTGTTGAGTGTCTCCTGATTGGGGATGGACCATCTTTCACATCAAGGTGACAGAACAGTGATTTTGCTGGGCTCCAGCGCCCAGAAGGTTCATTCAAATGTCCTTTACCCTCTTCTCACTTCCTCTCTCTCCACCCACAATCCTTACAAAAGGGAAGAGTTTAGAATTCATATCACCAGGATCTGCAAAGGGGTAAAGAGGCCACATTTGTTTCCATCCTTCTGCTCTGTTCCCTCTTCTGGAGGCCCTGGCTCCATTGTCACCCCTATTCCAACCTAGTCCATATTTCATCCCCTCGGAGCCTAGTCCTCCACTAAATCCACCAAGTTCAAGGGTCACTCTAGTTCAAGCCACTGTCGTCTGTTACCTAGTCTCAAAGGGGCTCACATTTACGCTCTTGTCTTCTGGGGTATGTTGGATTATTGGTCCCAATTCCTCACTCCTATGTAATGGTCTTATACACCCACACCACTATAGCTTCCTAGTGGGCACACTATATTTCCCTGATCCTTCATGTTGGGTGTGGTTTTATCAATGGTTTAGAATATTAGCAGACACAAGTAGAGGCTTGAAAGGTACCGGTACTGCTGAGTTTTCCTTCTTGCAATTCTGCCATAAGAACATTCTCTAAGTACTCACTGCTCCTACAACCTTGGCTCCAGAATGAGACATGTTAAATAGACACAAATTAGACCTGTTGCTTGGAGCCCAGTCCAGCCAAAGCCCCTGAGATCAGAAGAATCCAAATGGACCCACAAATCTATGAGCAGGAGAACTTAAAAAATTTTTTTTGATTTTTTACAGAGAGGAAGAGAGAGGATTAGAGAATTAGAAACATCGATGAGAGGGGAATACAGATCAGCTGCCTCCTGCACACCCCCTACTGGAGATATGCCTGCAACCAAGGTACATGCCCCTGATTATAATCGAACCCAGGACCCTTCAGTCCACAGGCCGACACTCTATTCACTGAGCCAAACCGGTCAGGGCATGTGAGCAGAATTAATGGCTATTGTTTCAAGTCTGAGTTTTGGGTTGGCTTGTCATATAGTATTAGTATAGCAACTGACTAATACATATCATTACAGTCCATTGCCACATGATGTTCTTTAATACAAGTCAAATCATGACAGGCCCATATTTAAGACCTCCCTTTCCTGGCTCCTATGACTCAGAATAAAATCTACATTTCTTTTCATGCCTTCATGGCTTGCATGACCTTGCTCCTGTATCTTCTGGCCAACTTCTCCACATCCATCTCATACTACTCTCTCTTCCAAGTCTACCCCACCAAAGCCATCCTGCCTTCTGGTTGTTCCTTGCTCTTGCCACATTCATTCCCCATCTCAGGGCCTTTGCATCTCCTGCTTTCTCGGCTGGGAGTGCTCCTCTCCCTCATCTTCCTATGGCTCGCTCCTTCTCATTTTTCAAGGTATCCCTTCCAACACCACCAGTCAGAGAGGCTTTCCCTGAACACTTAGTCTGCACCCGCTGTCACTTTCTACTTCGTTGCCCTGCTTATGGCTTCCATTGCTTTTATTTTTTATTTTTAAATATATATGTTTTATTGATTTTTAACAGAGAGAAAGGGAGAGAGATAGAGAGCTAGAAACGTCAATGAGAGAGAAACATCGACCAGCTGCCTCTTGCACAACCCCTACCGAGGATGTGCCCACAACCAAGGTACATGCCCTTGACCGGAATCGAACCTGGGACCTTTCAGTCCGCAGACTGACACTCTACCACTGAGTCAAACCGGCTTCGGCAATTGCTTTTAGATAAAATGACTTAGTCCTCTGTCTGCAGGCTTTATGTTCCAAGAGCGCAGGGATTTTGTCTGTGTTTCTCTGTGTTGTGTCTCAAACACTTAGAACACTAGCCGGCATACAGTAGGTACAGTCGTGTGCCTCATAATGACATTGAGGTGGTCCTTAAAAATGAAGCTGAGCCAGGACTGGTTTAGCTCAATGGATAGAGCGTCGGCTTGGGGACTGAAGGGACCCGGGTTCGATTCCGGTCAAGGGCATGTACCTTGGTTGTGGGCATATCCCCAGTAGGGGGTGTGCAAGAGGCAACTGATCGATGACTCTCTCTCATCGATGTTTCTAACTCTCTATCTCTCTCCCTTCTTCTCTGTACAAAATCAATAAAATATATTTAAAAAAAAAAAAAAAAATGAAGCTGAAAAATTCCTACCACCTAATGATGTACTTGTGTGTTTTCTTAGGTGTTCACAGTGATTACTTATGTGTTTGTGGTGATGCTGGTCTAAGCAAACCTACTACCTTGCCAGTCATATAAAAGTATAGCACATACAATTATGTACGGTACATAATACTTGATAATAAGTGACTAGGTTACTGGTTTATGTATTTACTATACTATGCTTTTTATTGTCATTTTAGAGTGTGCTCTTTCTACAGATAAAAAAACGTTTACTGTAAAACTGTATGCCATATTATGCCAGCAGCAACCTTATATCTCATGTTTACGCTGTCTCCTAATTGCATCATATTCTCTTGACTTAATATTTTATTGGTTTGTACAGTCGAATGTTGTACAGACTTGTGGCCTAAGAGCAATAGGCTAAACCATATAGCCCAGATGTGTAGTGGGCTAGACCTGTGGTCAGCAAACTGAGGCTTGAGAGCCACATTTTAGCAAAGGCCAGCTTAGGAGTACCCTAATTAAGTTAATAACAATGTACCCACGTATATAGTCTAAGTTTAAAAAATTTGGCTCTCAAAAGAAATTTCGATCGTTGTACTGTTGATATTTGGCTCTGTTGACGAATGAGTTTGCCGACCACTAGGCTAGACAATCTAGGTTTGTGTAAGTGCCCTCTGATGTTCCCACATTGTTGAAATCGCCGAACGGCACATTTCTTAGAATGTCTCCCAGCCATTAAGTGGCACACGACCACACTCAATTCATGTTTGCTTAGTTAATTTGTTAATTCTCCCTCCTGGTAATTTACCCACTAACAGAAGGTCTTGGGAAAACGAAGTCTGGAAGGAATTAGATTCTAGAATTCTAGGCTTCACATCAAAGAGAGGATGAAGAGCCGGGACCGGTTTGGCTCAGTGGATAGAGCGTCGGCCTGCGGACTGAAAGGTCCCGGGTTCGATTCTGGTCAAGGGCATGTACCTTGGTTGCGGGTGCATCCCCAGTGGGGGGTGTGCAAGAGGCAGCTGGTCGATGTTTCTCTTTCATCGATGTTTCTAACTCTCTGTCCCTCTCAATTCCTCTCTGTGTAAAATCAATTTAAAAAAAAATAAAATAAAAATAAAAAAAAGAGAGAGAGAGGATGAAAAGGCAAAGAAGACATTCGTATCAACACCCCCCATCCTCTCTCCTCCTCCAGTTTGTCCCAATTTCACCAGCCCCCACCCTATGTGGGCCCATGGACATGAGGCGTTCTGAGTCACATGAATGACACCCGCTCAAACCTCTCCTGCCTTCCTGCTCCTCTGGTGAATCAAAACGAGTCTAAAATGCCCCCATTGACTCCCCAGGACACAATGAGCCTTACCGGTTTGGAAGACCTGCCAGTCTTCCTCTGCATCCCGCTGATCTTCCTGCTCCCAGGCTTCTTTGCTGGTGCTGGAAACAGACACCCACTGGTCCACCTGGAGCGCCAGCGAGAGCTCCTGGTAGACATCGTTCAGCCGACTGTTCACGTCTGTGAAGAGTTCTTTGTTCTTCCCCGAGGTTAGGAACTTACGGAGATTGGACTTATCGCTGAACTTATCTATCTTCCTCTGAGCTTCCTTGAGGGCAGTCTGGAAGTTGCCCAGGGCAGCGATGATCTCCGGGGACAGGTGCCCCGCTCCCTGGTCCTGGAGCTTTTTCAGAGGCTGCAGCAGGCCGTGGATGCGCCTCCTCAGACGCTTGCACTGTCCCTCGCAGTGCCGCATCATCTCACATTGTTTGTACACATCCTGGCCTAAGGTGATGACGGTCCGCAGTTCATTCATACCTAGAAGAAACTGATGACATTTGTTAAAGTCCCAGAATTGCCGAGACCAGTTTGGCTCAGTGGATAGAGCGTCGGCCTGTGGACTGAAAGGTTCCAGGTTCGATTCCAGTCAAGGGCATGTACCTTGGTTTTGGGCACATCCCCGGTGGGAAGTGTGCAGGAGGCAGCTGATCCGATGTTTCTCTCTCATTGATGTTTCTGGCTCTCTGTCCCTCTCTCTTCCTCTATGTAAAAAAATCAATAAAAAATATATATTAAAGTCCCAGAATTGCCTGCATGTTTACTAATGGGCTACAGGAACCTCCAGGGTGTCTGCGATTTAAATGGCTGAAGAATTCTCTTCACAAGGTAGAGATGGTTTGATGTCCACCGAAATCTGTTCTGCCCTCTCCCATCATAACAGAGCTGTGGCTGGGAAGTGTCGGCTCACCCAGGACTCTATCTCCCAGCCTTCCTTGAGGCTTGATGTGGCCATATGACTAGTTCTCCCCAATGGGGTGTGAGTGGATCCGATATGTGCTACTTTGGGCTGAGGCAGGTTTGTCTCCTCTACACACTATCAGCTGGATGCACAGGACGGCACAGCCCTAGGGGTGTTGGAGTCCCAAGAAGGAAGGTGGAGTCGCAAGAAGGAAGAATCCTAGATCCCTGATGCATCACTTGGAGGAGGGCTGCTCACAGACCTGGACCATCTGCTACGAACTGTTAAGTGAATGAGAAATAAACTTCTCCTGTGTTTGGGCCATTGTATTTTGGGGTCTGGTCATGATATCAGTTGAGCCTATTCTAACAAAAATATCCTGCCAAAGTACAGGGATGACCATACGATGGTGGGTTGGAAAGCTCAGGCTTTGTCTAAAGAAAGGGAAGGGTTAGCCAGCAAAGACAAATGGTCCAGTGGTGGAAGATCTTTCAGTTTTGAAAGAGCAGTAAGAAATCTGGATTTTTATGTTAAATCTCTCAATTTAAAATCTTACAACGAACCCTGGCCAGGTAGCTCAATTGGTAAGAGTGTCAGACCAATACATCAAGTTGCAGGTTCGATCTCCAGGCAGGGGACATACAAGAAGCAACCAATGAATGCATAAATCCATAAAGAAGTGGAACAGCAAATAGATGTTTCTCTCTCAAATCAACTTTTAAAAATATAAAATATTGCAACCAAGTAAAAAAAAATGTGCAGTCCAACTGTGTGGGTCAAATAAAACATGTCTGCCAACTGGATATTGCCCAGAAAGCCCCAATTTGCAACCTTGGCCCTGAAGTCTACTCCATTTCTCAATTACAAATTTCATGAACTGACCTTACTTATTATTTAAGCCAGTTTGAATCATGTCTGCTGTACTTGTAACTAAAGGCAACTGGTTTCAGTAATGAGTAATGATAATAACCATGGTCATAGATCTCTCTATTCAGTTAGTATATGCGAAAAACTTTGGAACCATGAGTTCACTGTTTTATAGTTGGAGATATTTAGGCTCGGGGAAGTTGCATTTAAATAAGTATAAAACCATGGTAACGGTTTCCAAAGTACTTCTACAGAGTTAGTCTCAGCAGCTCCAGGAAATAGGCGGGACACCTATTATTACCATTTTAAAGATCAGATAACAGTTTGGAGAATTACATTGGCTTGACACCCACACCTGGCTTTCAAAGGGTGAGTGAAAAACCAGCAGAAGTGAAACCAAGCAAGCAACCAGTTGACACACTTTCAACTGGTTGCTTGCTTGGGTTTTTTTGCCTTAAAAGTTTTTTTTTGCCTTAAAAGTTATTCGGACCTGGCAAGGGAGTACCTGGTGTTAAGGCATGTCTAAAAAAACTCAATGGATTTCATATGCCCCAGTTCCTCCCAATTGCAAAGCAAATGCCTTCAAAGCCGTTTCTTGGCACCTACGGGGGCAAAGGGCTTTCCACTTTTCTCCAGTCCCCTGGAGACTGAACCAGATGTGAAAGTGTTGCTCAAGGAATCTTGCAGATTTCCGTTTCATAGCTTCAAGCTCCAATTGTCCTATTACCAGTTTCATAAAAAAGCCACATCTCGTCAAAACTGGTTTGGCTCAGTGGATAGAGCATCAGCCTGTGGACTCAAGGGCCCCAGGTTCAATTCTGGTCAACGGTTTGGTTGTGGGCACATCCCCAGTAGGGGGTGTGTAGGAGGCAGCTGATCGATGTTTCTAACTTTCTATCCCTCTTGCTTCCTCTCTGTAAAAATATCAATAAAATATATTAAAAAAAATAAAGTATATATATTTTTAAAAAGCCACATCTCCACAATAATGAATCAGAAAAGATAATGGGGAAAATGCCCCAATCATAAAAGTGACAATTTAAAACAATACATTTTACAGAAGTGATGACATGGTATGAAGAAAATCCCACAAAACAAAGCTTTTAAAAAAATGGAGGGAACTGTTATCTCTCTGGTTGTAGATGAAAAATGACAAACCAGACAATCCTTCCCCAATTTAAACCCAATTTAAAGCAATTCCAGTAAAACTCCCAGTGGTATAGTTTGGTATTGACACGAAATGATCCTAACGTTAATTTCAAAGAGGAAATTAGTAGGGCTAACCAGATTTTTATTTATTTATTTATTTATTTATTTAAATATATTTTATTGATTTTTTACAGAGAGGAAGGGAGAGAGCTAGAAACTTCGATGAGAGAGAAACATCGACCAGCTGCCTCTTGCACACCCCCTACCGGGGATGTGCCCACAACCAAGGTACATGCCCTTGAGGGGAATCAAACCTGGGACCTTTCAGTCCGCAGACTAACGCTCTACCACTGGGCCAAACCAGTTTTGGCTAACCAGATTTTTAAAAACAAACAAGAGGGCTTCCCTACAAGATGCAAATCTGTTATAAAAATGCAATAATAACTGAAACTGCTTAGGGCTTATGGATCATTGATAAAGATATCAAAAGGATAAGAGGGAATATAAGTATATTTATATTTTTTCGACTCAACAATGTGAATGTCTAGGAACTTACGCCGTGAAAAAGCTTGTAGGTGTATGGAAAGGTATATATACTAAGGCGTTCGTTGCAGTGCTATTTATAATATGTAAAGCTGCTAACACGGAGAGGGAAAATTTACTGGTTTTTAAAAGTAAAAAAAGAAAATCTTTACATGGCATAACAACATAAATCCATAAGTAATCTAATGGCATTTCCTTTTCTCTATAAAATAATAAAATAAAATAAAATAAAATAAAATAATAAAATAAAATAAAAAGAGGTATCAGACAATTCTTTCCTGATGAGGGCATTATCATTCAGTAGGCTACTTAGGCAATTTACCCCACAGACAGCCCGGAGTTCGCCTGTCTAGGGCTTCATGGACGGCTCCTCTGAGCAGGTTAGGAGGCCCCTCCAACCCCCACCCTAACCCCACCCCATCCTACGACCCCCACCCTAACCCCACCCCATCCCACGTCTCCTTGGGCAGCCAGAGACCCGCGCGCGGGCAGCTCTACCATAGAGTGGGGGAAATGAAACTAACTCGGTCCCGAGTTCCAGGAAATCGAGCGATGGGGCGCTCCCGGCTCCCCCCTCCCCCATTCCATTACTCCCCGATCTCCCCTCCAGGCCCAGGGACCCGCCCTGCAGCCCGCTAGCCCCTCCAGGCGGGCCGCGCCCGGAGCCCCCGCCAGACTCACCCCTGTCCCTCCCGAAGGCGTGCAGTCTGTCCGGGGCGCCGTCCAGGAGGCCCCTCCCGCCGCGCAGAGGCTGCCGATGCCCAGCACGAGGCTCTGCAGACGCGAGGCCACCGGGGAATCCGGGCACCTGTGCCCCGTTCCCGCCAGGAGTCTGCGCTCTGCGCTCCCGCCCCCTCTGCGCGCAGCTGGACCGTCTGTCTGTCTGTCGTAAAGTCCGGGGTGGGGCTGTGCCCGAACCAACCGTTGGGTCCTGCGCCCTCCAGAGGCCACCGCCCCAGGGCCGGCACGTGGACAGGGAAGTCTCACAGGCCCGGGAGCTTTTCAAGTGGTTCTTGCTGCCCGCGCGCCGCTCTGGTGCCCTGGGTCCTGGAGCCCGTTCCTGAGCGGTTCAGAGCGGAGACTCCTCCTTTCCTCCTGCACGTTCCTCCAGGAGCTCACCGATCCATTTTGTTCTGGGCACATTCACAGGTTGTGGGCTCAGATCCCGGGTGTGGGGCGTGCAAGAGGCAAACCAATCAATGATTCTCTCTCTTCATTGATGTTTCCATCTCTCTCTCCATCTACTTTCCTCTCTGAAATCAATCTCTCTCTCTCTCTCTCTCTCTCTCTCTCTCTCTCTCTCTCTCTCTCTCTCTCGGGTCTAGTAATAATTAATGTCGTTTTTTAACATTCGTTTAAAATCTTGCTTGGCGTTGACTTGTATTGACATAACCTTCAAACACGTGGTATCTACAGAACGTGTGAAGTGCAATTAACAAGTTTTGCTTGAAAAAGTTTGTGTTTGGTTTGGTTTTTGTTGCAAAACTAGGGCTAAGAAGATGGCGGATGAAGAGCATATTCGGCACTGCATGCTTTACGAGTTCCAATTAGGAAGAAAAGCAAGTGAGGCTGCAAAAAACATCTGTAGTGCTCTTGGTCAAGATGCAGTTAGCGCCAGAAAATGCCAGCGTTGGTTTGAGAAATTTCGCGAGGGAAATTTTTCGTTAGATGACAAGAGTGGTCGAGGCTGTGTGTCCAATTTTGATCAAGAAGCTCTTCAAGCTCTTTTGGTGCAAAATCCTCAAATTACCCAACAAGAGCTTGCGACAACTTTAAATTGTTCACAAAAAACAATTTCCAATCAATTGCGTGCACTTGGCAAAGTCCAAAAGTTTGGAAAATGGGTTCCTCATGAGTTGACCGACAACAACCGTAATCAAAGAGTCACAATTTGCAGTTCGCTCCTCTCTCGTCAAAACCGTTTGCCGTTTTTAGAGCAAATTGTTACCGGAGATGAACAATGGGTGCTGTATGTTAATTTGAAAAGGCGGCCTCAATGGTTGGACAAAAATGAGGCTCCGCAGCCCACGCCAAAACCTGACTTGCATGCGAAAAAAGTGATGTTGTGTGTTTGGTGGAATTTTAAAGGAATTCTTCATTATGAACTTTTACCATCTAACCAAACCATTACAAGTGCAGTGTATAGTGCCCAATTGGAAAGGTTAGCCCAAGCTTTAAGAGAAAAAGAACCCGCGCTGATTAATCGGAAGGGCGTAATTCTTCACCACGATAACGCACGACCACATACTGCAAGAATCACTGCTGAAAAACTGCGCCAGTTGGAATGGGAAGTTCTCCCTCAACCTGCATATTCTCCTGATATTGCCCCTTCCGATTACCATTTGTTTCGTTCTTTGCAAAACTTTCTTCTTGGAAAAAAATTTAATAATGAAGAATGCCTCAAAAATGCATTGACTGAATTTTTTGCATCAAAATCACAAGAATTTTACAACAGAGGGATTAAAATGCTTCCTGAGCATTGGGCACAAGTAGTAAAAAACAACGGCAACTATATTGTTGATTAAATTTTGTTGTATTGTTTAAATAAATTCGATTTAAAAAAGTATTAGAAAACGACATTAATTATTACTAGACCTAATATATATATATATATTCTATCAACTAAAACTGAAACCGGTTTGACTCAGTGGATAGATGGCTCAGTGGATAGAGCGTTTACCTACAGACTGAAGGGTCCCCTGTTGGATTCCGGTCAAGGGCATGGCATGCACCTTAGTTGCGGGCACATCCCCAGTAGGGGGTGTGCAAGAGGCAGCTGATCGATGATTCTCTCTCATCGATGTTTCTAACTCTCTATCTCTCTCCCTTCCTCTCTGTGAAAAATCAATAAAATATATATTTTTAAAAAGATTGTATGTATAGTCAACAATAATATGCTGTACATTTAAAGACTTGGCCCTCGCTGGTTTGGCTCAGTGGATAGAGCATCAGCCTGTGGACTGAAGGGTCCAGGTTCGATCCTAGTCAAGGACACATGCCCAGGTTGTGGGCAGGAGGCAGACAATGAATAGTTCTTTCTCATCATTGATGTTTCTTTCTCTCTCTCCCTCTCTCTTCCTCTCTGAAATCAATAAAAATATATTTTAAAAAAGAAAGAAAAAGAAAAAAGAATTGCCCTAACCGGTTTCGCTCAATGGATAGAGCATCGGCCTGCAGACTGAAAGGTCCCATGTTCAATTCCAGTCAAGGGCATGTACTGGGTTGTGGGCACATCCCCAGTAGGAGGTGTACAGGAGGCAGCTGATCGATGTTTCTCTCTCATCGATATTTCTAACTTTCTATCTCCCTCCCTTCCTCTCTGTAAAAATAAAATATATATTAAAAAAAAGACTTGTCAAGAAGATAGATCTCATGTTAAGTATTCTTTCCACAATAAAAAAATAAATAAAAAGGATTATAAGAGAATACAGTGAACTATCTTATGCCAACCTAAATGAGATAGACAAATTTCTAGACACAAATTACCTAACCTACTCAAGAAGAAATAGAAAATCTGAATAGACCCATAACAAGTAAAGACATTGAACCAGTAATCAAAACCCTCCTAACAAAGAGAAGTCCAGGCCAGATGGCTTCACAGTGAATTTTACCAAACATTTTAAAATTAATTGACACCAATCCTCTTAAACTGTTCCAAAAAAAGAGAAAAGGCGAGAAGCTTCCTAACCCATTTTATCAGGCCAGCATTACCCTAATACCGAAGATGCCACAAGAAGGAAAACCACAAACCAGTATTAGTGACAAATATAGATGCAAGAGGCCTCAACAAAATACTAGAAAACTGAATCCTAAAACATATGAAAGATTTATACACTGTGACCAAAAGACATTTCCCCCCCAGGAATGCAAGGATGGCTCAATATGTGAAATCAATGTAATCAATCACATTAATAGAGCAAAGAAAAATCCATATGATCATTTCAGTTGATGTAGAAAAAAAACATTTGACAAAATTCAACACCCTTTCATGATGACAACATGCAGAAAACCAGGAATAGAAAGGAACTTTTTCAAATGATAAAGGACATTTATGAAACACCCTCAACTAACATTATACCTAATGGTAAAAGACCAAAAGCTTTCCCCTAAACTCAGAATCAAGACAGAATGTTTGCAAATGGTCACCACTTACTATTCAACATTTCCTAGAAGTTCTAGCCAGAGCAATTAGTCAAGGAAAAAAGAAAGACATCCAAATTGGATAAGAAATTAAAATATCACTGTTAGCTAATGCCATAGTTTTTTTTTTTTTAATATATTTTTTATTGATTTTACACAGAGAGGAATTAAGAGAGATAGAGAATTAGAAACGTTGATGAGAGAGAGTCATCAACCAGCCGCCTCTTGCACACACCCCAACTGGGAATGTGCCCGCAACCAAGGTACGTGCCCTTGACTGGAATCGAACCCGGGACCCTTCAGTCCGCAGGCCGATACTCTATTCACTGAGCCAAACTGGTTTCAGCCGAATGCCATAGTTTTGTATGAGGAAAATGCAATAAACCATAAAAGTTTTTATTGTAGTTAATAAATGAATTCGGCAGAGTTGCAAGATACAGGGTTAACACAGAGAAATGAGTAATGTTCCTATACACCAGCAATGAAAAATAAAAAAAGGAAATTAAGAAAAGAATTCCACTGAAACTGGTTTGGCTCAGTGGGTAAAGCGTCGGCCTGGGGACTGAAAGATCCCAGGTTTGATTCCGGTCAAGGGCATGTACATTGGTTGTGGGCACATCCCTGGTTGGGGGTGTGCAGGAGGCAGCTGATCGATGATTCTCTCATCGATGTTTCTAACTTTCTATCTCTCTCCATTCCTCTCTGTAAAATAAATCAATAAAATATATATTTTTAAAAAGAAAACAATTCCACTTACAATAGCAGCCATAAGAATAAAACACTGAGGAATTCAAATAAGTATGTGAAAAGATCTCCACAGAAAACATTACTGAAAGAAATAAAACAAATATCTGGGAATAAACACCTGGACCCCGCTCTCCTCCATCCTGCCAATCTCTTGCCAGTGCCTGTATTTGTAGAACTGGCAGCCAATGAGCCAAGAACACAGATCGGCCTCACAGAGCACTGAGTGGGATGGGGAAAGATGGAGAATGAATCTGGAGAGCAGATGGGAGATACCTAGCACATCTCATAATTTCAGTAACTGATGTCTTTGTGGGTGCTTTTCTGTGGTATGTTGTTTCCATCAGCTTTTACTCATGGTGCCTTCTTTCCTTGTGTTTTGCTTTATTTTTATTGTTAAGCGTATAGTCCTTGGAATCTTATCCATGGGAATATTTTGAGGGCTGGATTGAAGTTGCATTTCTCCACAGGAATTTGTAAATGCTTCTGAGAGCCAGGGACTGAAGAGTCCAGGTTCAATCCCAGTCAAGGGCACATGCCCAGGTTGTGGGCAGGAGGCAGCCAATGAATGGTTCCCTCTCATCATTGAAATATATATATCTATATATACAATACACACACACACACACCGTATTTTCCGGCGTGTAAGACAACCCCCTAATTTTACAGTTAAAACATAGGTTTAGGCCTACATTCGCTGTATAAGACTAACCCCCACTTCTGAGACAACACCAGTTCTTTTTTTAATAGCCCGCCTCTCTGTCTCTGGCCAATTAAAAAGCCTGAGCAGGCTTTTTACTAGAACACAGTGTAGCTTCGGGTTCAGAACATGTACACTGTGTTCTACTAAAAAGCCAAAGAACTGGTGTTGCCTCAGAAGTGGGGGGGGTAGTCTTATACAGCGAATATAGGCCTAAACCTACGTTTTAACTGTAAAATTAGGGGTTCGTCTTACACGCCGGAAAATACGGTGTGTGTGTGTGTGTGTGTGTGTGTGTGTGTGTGTGTGTGTGTCCCTCAGTGGATAGAGTGTCAGCCTGTGGACTGAAGGATCCCAAGTTAGATTCCAGTCAAGGGCTCATGCCTGGGATGTGGGCTCGATCTCCAGTGTGGGGCATGCAGGAAACAGCAGGTCCCTGGGGTATGCCACCCAGGCTATAGCAAATTTTTGACTCAAGGTGTTTCAGACTAACCAGTTTGCATGAATTCGGGCCTCAAACCTCCATGAGAGCAATGGTGGTTCTATTGTATATCCTCAAAAGAGCCTTTCTCTGCTCCTCGCAGGCAATTTTACTTGCAATGCCCTGGAAGGTGGGTTTACCTCTGGTTAGGTCTTACATTGAGGATAGAGACTGCGGGGGGCGTGCAGCAGACACATCTGATGATCCTTGTCCTATCCCTTCTGTCCATCTCTGGTCTTAACCTCACTTGTGGTGGAACGTTCTGCTCTGATTTCAGCCACAGTTCTGGTGCATGGTTCCTAGCAAGCTCACATGCAACGTGTGCTGGCTGCCTCCGCTTCGAGGGCACACATCCACCTTTCTGCTCTTGCTCTTGGACCTTTGTCAAAGCCAAGGAAACAGGCTGGCTTTCATGCCAGGGCAGCCCGTAAGGGAGGAGGCAGTTGACCCCCATGAAGACCATCCTCACCTCACAGGAGAGGAAGCTGGTGGACCAGTGCTCCAGGCTCTTGGACCATTCTGGCAGGTCTCCGTCTGCCTCTCAGGATGCCCCTGCAGAGTCCGTCCGTAGGGGAGACTGAAGTCCTCATTATTTTATGGCCGCCCTGTTTTCCTTTCTAATCCTTCCCAATCACACACTCCTTATTTCTGCAATGGCCTCCTAAATAAACTACCTGCATCCATGTCCATGTTTTAGGTTGTGCTTTTTTAGGAAACCTAAATGAAGACATGGTCCCCACTTTATACTTTTGCCAACACAAGATTCTTTTCTTCTTTTTTCTTATCATTTTTTTCTTTCTTTTTTTTCCCTACTACACACTTTATAAGGTGTCTGAGATGGAGTGAAGATGACAGTCCTAGCATTTTCCAAATTTCACAGCCATCCTGTGGCATCTTTAATAGATACATTTTACTCATTGTGCTGTTTTCACCTCACTGTGAAGATCTAGTCAATTTATTTGTTTATTTTTAATTTTTAAAAAAAGTATATTCTATTTATTCTTCACAGAGAGGGAGAGAGACAGACAGCCACCTCATCCCAAAACAGTCACTATGGCAGTCACAAGAGGGCAGAGCCTCCTGCTATCACCAGAGGGCAGCAGAGGCCAGGGAACAGGCGGGGAAGCAAAGACGGAATAACGTAAACCTGCCAGAGATCTAATAGAGACGAGACGTATTGGCGCTGGTTACAAGTTGGGCATTGTGCTGGCACAATATGAAATCGTACAAAGTTCAAAGGCAGAGATCAGAGGCCAGAGCCAATGGAGAAGGGGAACAAAGTCCAGTTAAGAGGGCCGTTCTTGCTGAAGCCGGTTTGGCTCAGTGGATGGAGCGTCGGTCTGCGGACTGAGGGGTCCCAGGTTTGATTCCAGTCAGGGTCATGTATGTTGGTTGCGGGCACATCCCTGCAGGAGTCAGCTGGTCGATATTTCTCTCTCGTCAATGTTTCTAGCTCTCTATCCCTCTCCCTTCCTCTCTGTAAAAAAAATAAAAAATAAAAAAATAAATATATATATATATAAAGAGGGTGGTTCTTCAGGTCAGCCAGGAAATGCCCAAAGACTGGCCAGCATGTCTGGAAGGACAATGGCAGAAATAAATGTGTGCCATGGCGGTGGGCCTGTCCTCTGCCAGGGCAGCTGGGGAGTTGCTGGGGAGTCAGGTAAGGCACATTGCTAGGATCACTGAGAGTCACTTTCCACTGATCAGAATTTAAATGGCCTTTGCCTGAGCGAGCATTCAACGTTCTGGGTGGTTTTCTTCTCCCACCACAGAAATAAACATAATCATGTGCCACAAAAGTCTCAGGCTTTCCCATCATGCTAGTTGGCATTTGGGTAATATCTCATGCTTGCTTTAGCATCTAATCTTTGATTCTTACGCCTCTTGCTCTTGCTGATAAAATTCCCCAGCTCTACCAGATGGCCACAGAGTCCGGACCGCACTATGGCTGCCAGCGGGCTCGAGATGAAGGGCTTTGTGGCGCTTCCTATGTTCCTCTCTCCTGCAAGGTGGAGTTCGCTCTCTTCCACAGGCTTGTGGCGCCCCCTGGAAAGTTACTGTGGGCTCCGCAGGAAGCTCTGGGGGCACCCATCCAGTGTGCACTGAGTGGATCTTTTCATTTCGGTGTGTAGTGTGTGTGTGTGTGTGTGTGTGTGTAGGAGGTTTCATACTATTCCTCCTCCCAAATCTTCTCATTGCCAAGCTGCAAACTCACTTAGATTTTTGTCATTTCTTACGAGTTTGTTTTTTAAAAAGTTTTTCTTTTTTTTAATTCCAGTTAAATTTTTGCTCAACTTAGACTTTTCTCTGGGGGAGTTGCATGTTTACAGCTCGCCCATCTCTTCCTTTGCTCCTCCTTTTCCTTCCTTCCTTCCTTCCTTCCTTCCTTCCTTCCTTCCTTCCTTCCTTCCCTCCTTCCTTCCCTCCTTCTTCCTCCCTCCCTCCCTCCCTCCCCTCCCTCCCTCCCTCCCTCCCTCCTCCCTCCCTCCCTCCCTCCCTCCCTCCTTCCTTCCTTCCTTCCCCCTGGGTGTGATGCTCCATGGTCACGTTCCCAGTTGCCTGGAAATGGAGGTTGTGACTTCTGCTCTGTGAGCAGCCTGGTTCCAGGATAGATTCCAGGAGCTTGAGCGATGGCTGACTCAGACCGGCGGCCTTTATCTCCAGGCTGAGAGCTGCAGGAACGAAGCCAGCATGTGGCTGCGGGAGCAGGGCGAGGCAGCGAGGCCAGGGGCTCCCTCCGTGGTGCCAGAACCTCGCCAACATCCGTTCACATCTGCCTCTGCCTCTGCCTCTGCCTCCGCTTCCCCATCCTTGGGAGGAAGATCCAGAGCCCATCTCCACTGGGCCCGCCGAGCCAGACTTGCGGAGTGTGGCAACCTTGGGTCTGTACGCGAACAGATTCCTCAGGTGGTTCTGATGTGCTGGCTGGGAAGGCATCATTGAGCCTCTGCTTCATACACTGAGCTTGCCTGACGTTCTAGTTCCCACTGTGAGCGCTTGTTCCTAGAGTCTTCCTCCTCTGTCAGGAAAGCCACTGGAACCTTAGTTGGGGTCTGACAAGTCTCCCCAGTGGTGTGCCACGGCGGTGGGTGGACGTGACACCCCCACACACACTCCCCCAACCCCCACCCCACCCCATGTGCAGGCAGGAAAGGGGAAGGCTGTCTGCAGACAATTTTAAAACAGTCATAAAACCCAGTCAGAAAACAAGAGTTGCTCAGCATTTTTATTATCACCATGGCCCAGCGAGAGTCTACACAACCTGGTCAGAGGTCAACACCCCTCCCTGCTGGACGGACCGTCCCCACGCCCCCTTCCAAGGTGAAGTCCCGCGAATCAACACCAAGAAGCAGCAACCGCTCTTGGTCGGTTTCTTTTTTTTTAAATGTCTTTATTGTTCAAAATATACAATGTATTTACACCTTTATTTCACACAACTGTAGTTTGTATATTTATTCCAAAATCTTTAAATAACTCCGCGGTAAACAGTACAAATCACAGGAGCGGTCAATCTGCTTCTCTTTAGCCTTTATACTCGTCGAGTTTTTTTGTTTGTTTGTTTTTTGTTTTTTTAAAGTTTCAAGTAGTAATGGTTTGTGGGTAAGAAGGGAACAGAAATAGGACCAGAGGTTTACATAAGCTCGACACGTAGAATTAGAAAGGGCAATCTGAGCAGCTACGTGAGCATTTATATAGTTTATAAATAAGACCCTCTCAGGAGCAGGGAGGGTTTTGGTTATGAGGAAAAAGGGGCTGGAACCTCACCTGCTGGGGTCGGGGCTGGGGGTGGGGGGGCAGGTAGGGAGGGATAGGAAAGCCCATGGGGAGGGAGATAAGGCACCGAATAAAGGCTCCTTCGTGGCCTATGGAGGCACCGGCTGGAAGGGTCCTGAGTGGGGGCCAGGGCCCACCTGTGCCAGGCGGAGGTCAAGAATGGCTGGGAATGGGGTGGGGCTCCCACCCACAGAGAGAGGCCTCTTTAGCCGACCGTGGAGCAAAGCTTTGTGATTCTGGAGGCGGGGAGATGGCGAGAGCAGCTGGTGGTTCCTAAAGAAAGGGGCCTGGGCTCCTGCCAGCCTCGAGGCCGATGCCAGACTGATGCCTGGGGCCCCTCTGCACAGGCAGGTGAGGGCCGGGCCTGTGTCTCGGCCTGAGGCACCTGGCGGTCCAGCTGGCGTCTGTGATCGGCAGTGGACGGAGGCACTGCCCTGGGGTCTGGGACGGCCTGTGGGAGGAGGCATCATGCTGTCTCTTCCTGTGAGAGCCCTTCATCCACCTCAGCGTCCTCCACTCTGAGCCATCAAACCGCCGCTGGGAAGGGAGGGTAGGGAGACTAGGGCAGAGGCACTGCACACCCCACTCTTGGCTGTGGGGGTGGCTCCCAGGGAGCCCGAGGTGCTAAGACACAGGTGGATCACAGACCCGCCAGGAAGTCACAGGGATCCGTTTCCATCATTCCCCTTGGCCGGGTCCTAACGCAGTCCTGTGGGCCGGTTCCGGGCGGAGGTGCTGGCGGGAAGGCTGGGGCGCTGCAGGAAACAGCTATAGTTCCTGAGGGCCGTGTGGCCACCCCGGGGCCGGGAGGGAAGTCTCAGCCTGTAGGGTCTCCCCAGCACCCTTCACCAAGCCCGAGAGCTGGACCGAGCCCATCCTGCCTGGCCAGGCGGACCTTCTTGCAGGGTCTGGATGGGGCGGGGCGGGACAGGGGCCGCAGCGGGGCGGGGAGCTGTCACTGGATCTTCAGGTGGGGCTCTTCCGGCATAAGGGTGTGGAAAATGTGATCCCACAACTTAGTGCTGATGCCAAATCCTAGAGAGGGAGATGAACAGGGAGAAGGTGAGGCCGCTGTCCACGGAAGGGGAGACATCTGCTCGGAAAGGGAGACAGGGGAGGGCCAGCCCTCGGGAGGATTTTCACCTCGGTCCCCGCTGGCCTTCCCAGCGCCCGGGGCCATCCTGGCAGAAGTCAGGGGCAGGGTACCGGTTTCCCAAGGATGCCCGTGGAGTAAACCCAGATCCTTTCTCTGGCGTGACTTCCTGGGAGAGCCTGACCCCTGCCTGCCTCAGCCTCTTCCTTCTCTTTGAAGATGCCAAGTCCGTTCCTGCTTCAGGGCTTTGCCCCTGCCGCTCCTGAGATGCTCTTTCCCCAGACGTGGGGTGCTGGCTCCTTTTGACTTAGGTCTCAGCTCTAACGACCTCTCCACAGTGATGTCTTCCTGCACCACATGACCTAGTGCTCTGCCATCCAACACGGTGGCCCACGTGACTGCTCGGCACGGGAAATGTGGCTAGAGCCACAAAGGGACTAAGTTCCCAATTTCATTTAATTTTGATTAGCTTATATTTCAGTTTAAAAAAGTAGACTTGCCCAACCCAGGTTGGCTCAGTGGATAGAGCGTTGGCCTGCAGACCGAAGGGTCCCGGGTTTGATTCTGGTCAAGGGCACATGCCTGGGCTGCAGGCTCAATCCCCAGTAGGGGGCGTGTGGGAGGCAGCCGATCAATGATTTTCTCTCATCATTGATGTTTCTATCTCTCCTTCTCCTTCCTCTTTGAAATCAATAAAAATGTATTTAAAACAAAAACAAAAACCATATACTCAATTCAATTACTGGAAATCTTTCAAGCATATCAGAGCAATTCAGGTATGTGAATCTACTTTTTTTTTTTTTTTACTGTAAATTTTATAAACTCTAAACACAGATTAAATATTCCCAATGAAAATTTAGCATCTGAATTGAGATGTGCTGTAAGTGCAAGATACACACTGGACACAGAAGACTTAACATAAAAAAGGGGGGGAAAAATAGTAAAATATCTCATTAACAATATTTTACATTGATTATATCTTTTTTTAATTAAAAATTTTTTAATTACTTTATTGATTAAGGTCATTGGTTATATCTTGACATGATAATATTGTGGTTGTATTTGGCTTCATAAAATATGCTATTACTAAAGTTCCTTCCACCCATGTATTTTTTTACTAGCTCATGTGGCTACTGGAAATTTTTAAAAAATCGCATCTGTGACTTGCATGTTTTACTGGACAGAGCTGGAGCCCTCCCCTGACTCATACGGTTCCTCGAACACCATCTTGCTTTGCTTTCTTTGTGGCCCTTACCACTGTCTGAAGTGACCTTTTACTACGGAGGGATTTCCTTGTCTGTCTCTGCACCGCCCACCACACCAGAGAGCAGGATGGGAGCCCCAGGCTGGCCTGGCCCGGGGAGGGGCCCAGTGGCAGCTGCCAAACACGTTAGTGACCAGAGGAGCGGGACGGGAGGTGCTGGCGGAGCCGTACCTGACTTCTGGTGTGCGAAGTGGTGCTTGACGTGGTGGGCCTTCATGCTGTGCAGGTAGGAGCCCTTGTGCGGCGAGCCGAAGTGCAGGTAGTAGTGGGTCATGTCGTAGAGCACGTAGCCCAGGAGGCCGCCCGCAAACACCGTGCCCCCCACCGCCTCCGGCAGGAGGAGCTGCAGGGCCGTGTAGAAGAGGGCGATCACCAGCGAAGCCGGCGCAGGGGGGAAGACCAGGCGGGACTCGTCGAAGGGTGCCTGTGGAGGGAGAGGCTCACGGGTCAGAATGCAGGGGGGGGGCCTGCTCGTAGTCGCCACAGAGACTCCCCCACGGAGCACGGGGCAGGGCCGCCCGGCTGTCCCGGGGAGGGGCGGTGGTTGTCCTGGGTGGATGTGGCACTCTCCGTGGCTTTGGGGAGGGCAGGTCACTACGCCGGAAAGTCCTAGAGAGACTGTCCGGTTCCCCGTTTCCAAGCCAGGATAGGCCCTGCGACCCTGGGCAGGAACTCGGGGGTGGAAGTGACGTGGGCAGGATGTTCGCGGTTTCGAGTCCCGCTTTAGGCTCAAGAGGCAACTGTGGCTCTGGAATTTGTCAGATGCTGGAGAGGAGTCCCACCTCCGAGGACCGGGTGGAGCACTCAGACCAGGGCCTGACGCTGTCTGGGAGGCTCATGTGGATTCACATGGTGGGGTAGTCCTAATAGGGATTCTTGTTTGTTCCAACGGGGTGTTGTCACATGAAACAGGAGAAATAGGCCTTAGGCTCTGGAGTGTTAAAAGCCAAAGGCCTAGCCTAGAGGTAAGATGTTAGTGACTGATGGTGAGGATTCTGAGAAAGACAGACCCTCTCTGGGCTGGAAGAAAAGACAGAAAGCAGGCAACAGTCATAGAGCGATATGCAGACTGGGAGCAGCAGGACCCATGGTATATGGGAGAGCCAGGTCTGGGAGGGAGGGAGGGTAGGAGGAAGAGGTGGGCACCCTGGGACAGGCTGAGAGCCGCATGGTGTGGGGACAGTGGGATGCAACTCCCTCTGGGCAGACTTGGCTTCCAGTCCCTGCCGCTGGGGCCATCCTATTGGCCGGGAAGAGCCCCAGGGTGGTGGGTGGTGGAAGCTCGGACTCTGGCATCCACAGAAGGAGGCACAAGATCCTGGCAGGGACAGGTGTGACCCAGAGTGAATTCCTGGTTTGGTTTCCCTGAGCCTGCTGGCTGCTCTGGGGAACGGGAAGAAGGAAGCTCCCCTGGGCAGTGGCTGTTGACTCTCTTGCTCAGTGGCGTCTGGAAGGCTGCCTGGCGCAGAGTGAGCACCCGGTGGACATTCGTGGAGTGAACGAACGAGTTGCTGTGAGGACCGAAGATGGCCCACGGAAGGAACCGGTGTCAGTAACGATGGCACACGGACACACACGCTCATTCTGTCCACGCCCGGTTCAGGTTAGGCCCCAGCCCTTCCTCCGAGCAACAGCAAAGGCCCTGATCTCCCTAGCTCCCAGCCTGACTGCCAGAGAGATGGGCGGCTCCTGGGAACCGGGTAGAGCCACCAGGCCCCGGGGGGAGCCCGCCCGGCTCACCTTGTGGTGCTGGCCGTGCAGGACGAAGTGCAGCGTGATGAGGTAATAGCTGTTGCTGGGGGGCTTCATGTGGAACAGGAAGCGGTGGAGGAGGTACTCGATTAGGCTCCAGAGGAGCACCCCCAGCACGAAGAGGCCCGGGAACGCGGACTTGGGCATGGCTACCGAGTACTCTGCAGGGCGGCGAGAGAGAGGAAGAAGGTCAGGGCAGATGGCCCCAGCGGGCAGCAAGGCCTGGTGGCTCCAGACGTCCATCTCACCCCCACCCCCCATCACTGTGCCTGGCTGGAGTGGCTCAGCGGGTTGAGCATCATCCTGGGTGCTGAAAGGTATATTGCCGGTTCAATTCCCAGTCAGGGCACATAGTTGGGTTGTGGGTTTGACATAGGGCATGTATGGGAGGCAACCAGTCAATGTCTCTCTCTCACATCAATGGCGCTCTCTCTCTCTCTCTCTCTCTCTCTCTCTCTCTCTCTCTCTGTCTCTTCCTCTCTCTAAGCATATCCTGGTTAAGGATAAAGAAAAAAAAAGAAATAAAAAAGAGGGCCCATAGAGCTCCCTGTTGCTTTTGACCATGTGAGGACACAGGAAGTCTGTGACGTGGAAGAGGACCTTTGCCTGACCAGGCTGGCACCCTGATCTGAGCTTCCAGCTTCTAGATCTGGAAGCCATACATTTCTGTAGTTTATAAGTCACCCAGTCTGTAGCAGTACAGATGGCTAAGACCCCTGAGAAGACCCCTTGGTGTCATGGGGGAGAGGGGAGGGTGATCCCAATTAAGCCAGGAGAGCTGGGCAGTCATTGATGGGAAATGTGAACCACCAGGGACTGGAGAGCAAGAGGGACAGGAAAACACACAGAGAAATCTCAATGGACAAGACTCGAAATCATAACATATGAGGAAGATCTGGAAAAAAACAAAACAAAACAAAAAACCCTGAAGATGATTAGCATGGAGGTGAGAAGACTGGAGATGTAATTGTCAAGTGTGAGGTTCCCAACAGCCACCCTCTCACACCAGCCTGCAGTCCTTGAGGCTCTTCTTTCTTTCTTTTTTTTAATTTTTTTTTAATTTTTATTGATTTTTTACAGAGAGGAAGAGAAGGGATAGAGAGTTAGAAACATTGATGAGAGAGAAACATTGATCAGCTGCCTTCTGCACACCCCCTCCTGGGGATGTGTTCGCAATCAAGGTATATGCCCTTGACTGGAATCGAACCTGGGACCTTGAGTCCATAGGCCATTGCTCTATCCACTGAGCCAAACCAGTTTCGGCGAGGCTCTTATTTCTTTTTTCCATTTTGTTAATTTCTTTTTTGTTGTTAATCCTCACCCCAGGATATTTTTCCCATTGACTTTTAGAGAGAATGGAAGGGAGAGAAGGAGAGAGAGAAAGAGAGAAAGAGAGAGAGAGAGAGAGAGAGAGAGAGAGAGAGAGAGAGAGAGAGAGAGAGAGAGAGAGAGAGAGGAACATCGATGTGAGAAACACATCAACTGGCCACAGACTTCTGTCTTGACCTTATCTGGGCTCCCACCACACAATCCTCATGGAGGTCCCCATCCTCACCCAGCATGCCATGTGGTTCTGGCCTAGCCCTCACTTAACCTGCTCCCAGGCCCTGCACTTGGGGTCATCCTGAACGGCAGAACCCCTCTGCTTTTCCAAGCATGTTCATGCACACGTCTGGGAATTTCAGTGAGCTGGTGTCTCTGCTCAGCCTCCACTGCTACTCGGCTCCCTGACTCTTCTGCGTGGATGCCAGTGCTCCCTTTGTCCAGCAGCCATGTGGGGACCTGTCAGCCGCCCCTTGCCTAGCTCTGTGGCTCTTACGTCCTCTGCCTTGCCTGACGAGCAGGGAGGTGAGGGAGGCCTGAGGACACGTATCTTACGCTGCCATTGCTAGCATCATGGCCACAGGCTCTCCACTGGACCTTTATTTTTTTTTAAATATATTTTATTGATTTTTTAATTTTAATTTTAATTAATTTATTTATTTTAAATATATTTTATTGATTTTTAACAGAGAGAAAGAGAGAGGGACAGAGAGTTAGAAACATCGATGAGAGAGATACATCAATCAGCTGCCTCTTGCACACCCCCTATTGGGGATGTGCCCGCAACCAAGGTACATGCCCTTGATCAGAATCGAACCTGGGACCTTTCAGTCTGCAGACCAATGCTCTACCCACTGAGCCAAACCGGTTTAGGCCACTGGACCTTTATTAACCAGCACATCTCAGCTCTCTGCAGAGGCCTGCAGTTCTGACCGAGCCCTCAGATCACCCTCCTATAGGTCAAGTCCCCGCCCACCCCCTCACCCCAGCATCATCCCTGTTGGCGCATCTGCCCCGGAGCTGGTACCGAGTGGCATCTCCAGAGGAATCCTGCAGAGGGACCTGGGCCAAAGCTCCGGCAGCCCCTTCCCCCTCCGGCCGCCAGCCCTGGCGGCACTGCCACTGTTGCTGATTGTTAGGGGAGCCCTGGGTGGACAGTGGGCGATTCAGTGAGCAGGCTTTCTGAGCAACAAGCCCTGTGCTGTGCCTGAGCTATTCAGCGTGGGCAGAAAAGGGTAACCTTGGCTCTCGGGGCGTGCATGTTAACCCTTAGAGACCGGGTGGAGTTCTGGGCTCTGGGGGACTTCCTGTACCTTGCTCATCCACCACATCCCGGTCCACCCAGGAAAACGGAGGCTCCCATCACTGTGGCTGTGGCCCCACTCAGCTGCACCATTCAGGTCCTCTGCTTGCCACTCTGAGGAGCCGGGGGCAGGAGAGAAGCCTCAGAGTGGGGGCAGAAGGAGCCTGCATCTGGCAGAGAGGGGGGTGCCCCAAGGGCCCACAGTGGTTGGGAAAGGGAAGCCCACCTGAGCTACCCCAGTGCCTTCTCCTGCCTGTCCCCTCCCCTGGCCACCATCTTGAGCCTCCTGCCACCACCCAGGGCAGGCGGCATGGACCTAGAGGCCCAAGGGAGGCGGTGAGCTTGGGAGGCGGCCTGACAGAGTGGCCGCACCCAAAGCCATGGCTGCCCTGAGACTCAGTCCCCTAGGCTCACCGACAGCCCTTCTCTCTGTCCTCAAATCCCTGAGGCTGGAGGGCGCCTCGCATCCACGTCCTAGCCACATGACCCTGAATCGCTGTGTGACTTCTCTGAGGCTCCATTTCCTCGTCTCGAAAGGGCATGACGATAGCACCTTTCTCATGAGGCTGTTGGGAGGATTAACCAAGATGGCCCCTGGAAGGCGCCACTCCAGGCTTGGCACGTAGAAAGTGCTCACGAGAGGTGAGTGGGGCTGTGACTCCTGATCAGGGGTTCTGCTGCCTGGACCTCTGCCCAGGAGACACTGCAGGACACTCCAAGATCTTTCTCTTCCAGGTTCTAATCTGTGCTGTGTCCATGGGCCGTTCGGAGTCTAGCTCTCGGCTGTGCCACGTGGTGAATGATTTCATTTAGTTTCTTGACAAGCCCAGATCATACCTTTTCTAGTATTAGACTTGGTGATAAACCTCTTTCTTTATTGTTGTCTCCTGGCAAATGATTTTATTTAGTTTCTGTTAATGCGTTGCTGTTCTCCTCCACCTCCTCCTTCCTCTCCTCCTCCTCCTCCTCCTCCTCCTCCTCCTCCTCCTCCTCCTCTTCCTCCACCTCCTCCACCTCCATCTCTTCTGCCTCTTTTTTCTTCTCTTATAATCCATTCAGGATTGGGGCTGAGGGAGTCTGATATTTTTATTTGGAAGACCATTTCTACAAAAAGGTCTCACTTCGCAATGTTTGTGATATGGCTTTGGGTTCTGTCTTTGCAGAAACCTCTAGTGCCAAGAAGAACACCAAGGTCTCCCACCTCCAGGAGCCATGGGAGCAGGTCAGGAAGGGACCAACATTACCTGTGGTGAAGGAAGCGAAGAGTCGGACATCGCCCTGGGCGAAAGTTCGATAGTGGGACCAACTGATGTACAGCATCAGGGGCATCCAGATGATGGGGACGCTGTACCTGCAGGAGGGCCAGCAGGGTGAGAGATATACATGCTCAGGGGCTCGCCGGGGCCAGCTTTCCCAGCTCACTCTTGACCAGAGGGGGGAGGACGTGATACCAAAGCACGTGCAGAGAGCATGTGGAGAGCATGGGGTCAAAGGGGCGCTGCTGGGCGGGTGGGAAGGAGAAAGCAGAAGGAAGGCCGTGAGTCTATCTGTGTGGGTCCCTGAAATGAGTTATTGGCAGAAAAGAACTGTGTCTCTGTGGCTACAGAGTCTGTGCAGCTGAATAGATGCTGACCTCTTGTGGCAAAGGAGCTAATTGCAGGCAAAGTTGTTCCCATGGGAACAATTAGAGGCTGGAAACCCTTCATAGGGATCTGGAATAGAACAGGGGTGGCAATCAGAGTGGCTTCTGGCTATATGTTGGTGTGTCCCTCCCTCAGTGAGCAAACCATGCCTAGGGATGGATTACACCTATGGCATGTTCCACTATCCCCGAGAGCTTACCGTGTAGCTCTGGGCTGGGATTGGGGGAGAACCCAAATGCCCCTTCCTCTACTGACTGATACCATCAGGACAGAGGGACAGCCCACCATGGACGCAGTGCGGGGCTCACCAGACAGTCTTGGTGAGGGCCTCGACGAAGTCTGAGTGGAAGAGGCGGATGGGCCTGGTCACTGGCTGGTGGACCCACTCATCGTACTTCTCCCCCAAGTGGCCTACCTGCCACAGGAGGGGCTTCCGCCAGTCTACCAGGTCCTGCAAGAGAAAAAGTGAGTGGAGTCTACCAGGTCCTGCAAGAGAAAAAGTGAGTGGACACTTGATATGCACAGCTGCACACATTCATTCTCCCGCCTCCTAGTTAGTGTATCACCGTCACCATCCTTGACCTCATATGGTCGGTTTAAGGCTACCTGCCCTCTGGCTTTAGTGACTCAGGACTTGACCGAGCCACTCATCTCAGCTCCCGGCCACAGAAATGAGATCCAGGACAGGCTCATGACCTAAGCTGGTGCCATAAGCCATCAGACACTCTCTCTCCCTGCTGGAGTGGCCACGTTGGCGGGCATGAGCCTGAGGACTCAGTTAATACAGAAGGTGGACAATCCAGGATCAAAAGACTCCAAATCGAGGTGATGACGTCTGAGCACCCAGACTCATCCATGCCTGAAACCTGAAGGCCTGCCCAGGACACTGTACGTTCAGGAGCCAATGCACTCTGTGCTGGGAAGGAAACAGGTCCTTTCTCCTCTGCCAGAGGCTTTCTTCTTGGTGTTGGTTGGGCGATGCACATAATTTAATAGCACGTTAGCACATGCAAATAATTGATAAATGATTAAAATGGAAATATAATGGAAAATGTGCTCTAAATGTATTACTTATCTATACTAATAATAGAGGGATATGCAAATTGTCTGGGGCTCTGACACAGGAACAACCAAACTGCAGGCTGTGTGGGGCGACAAAGCTGGCAGGGGGGTTAGTGAGGGACGACCAAACGACTGAACAGGAGGCTGCATGGGGGGGCAGGAAGGGGCAACCAGGTCAGCAGGGGGGAGAATTGAGGGTGACCAGGCTGGTGGGAGAGGGGCAGTTAGGGGTGATCAGGCTAGCAGGCAGAGGTGATTAGGGGTGATCAAGATGGCAGGGGGGAGCAGTTAAGGGCAATCAGGCAGTCAGGTAGGTGAGCAGTTAGGAGCCAACGGTCTGGATTGTGAGAAGGATGTTCCCCGAGGGGTCCCAGATGGGAGAGGGTGCAAGCTGGGCTGAGAGGACCCCCCCTTCCCATGCACAACTTTCGTGCACCGGACCTCTAGTAGGGATATAAGATAAAAAAGTTTGGAAGCTGCAGTTCTAGGCAATGGGAAGCCCTTAAAGATTTATGATAAGTCCATGTGTTGTAGATTAATCTGAACCAACATCAGGAAACCAAAACCAGGAAAGGACAAGGAAGCTGTAGTGAGGGGCCACTTTCAAAGCCTGGCTCTATCACTTATCCGCTGGGGGGTTCTGGGCAAGTGCCCTTGCCTCTCAGAGCCCCTCAGCTCTCTTGTCCTAAAGCCGACATGCCCACCACCCATAAGAGAGAGGGCAGAATATGTTCTGTGTTTGGCATTTAGTGGATGTCAACAGATCTCCAATCCGAGGGAGTTAGGTGGCCACTGCAGGTGAGCAGGAGGGAGGTGTCAGTAAGGAAAAGGAGAGGAGAAAGTACATGGAAGGAGAGCCCTCGAGCCTGGGAGCAAGAGTCAACAGGGATTCTGCAGCCTGCCCTCCTCCTCCGTGGATGCACTCTCATCCTTGCACAGGCCTCCCCCTCAAAGCTCTCAGCCCTGCTGGAGGCGGAGCCACCCCTGCCATCCCAGCCTTGGAGCAGGGGCGGGGCTCTCGGACAAAGATGGCAGGTCCCTGAGTGGTCTCTCTGTGCCTGCAACTAGAGGAAAAGACGGTTGTGGTTTCCTGTTATGTGAACTTGGCAGTGCCAGGGCGCTGGCTGTCCTCCTGCTTCCCGGGCTGGAAGAGGACTCTGGTCATCCCAGATGCATCCCACCCAGCACCCATTGAACAAGGCAGCCATCCAACCCCAACCGAGAGAGCTTGGCTTTCTCCAGTCCCCACATCGCCTTGACTTTTCCCCCTGGGTCTAGTGGGAAATGAATTCACTGGGTGCCTACTGTCTCATTCCTTCCATTCCTCTGCCTCAGGCCTCTGCACACACATACCCGGCACCACCACCAGGAAAAAACAAAACAAAACTGGAAGAACCAGCTATTGCTCTGTGTTTACACTTTATCTTATGCGGCCTACAGAGCCCCACCTCAAAATAAGGGAGGCCAGGGTCATGGGGAGAACTTGGAGGTTTTGCCCCAATTGCAACACCACGGAGAGCTAACACTCAGAGCAATTGGATCTTCAACATACCCCTCGCTAGGCAAGTCCTGTTATTACTGTCATCTTGCAGGTGGGGAAACTGAAGCAGAAGAATTTGCCCACGGTCTGCCAGGTCTGTCTCTTTGACAAATGGGTCCCATAATCATGTGGAAATAGCCCTCTTGGTCCCTGGTAATACTCCTTGTTCCGAATCTTAAGAGAGCCACACCAGGCTTCCTTAGGCTTGGTTGGGATGGTCTAACTTTCCCCATCCTTTTGCTTTTTTTTTTTTTTTTAAATATATTTTATTGATTTTTTCACAGAGAGAAAGAGAGAGGGATAGAGAGTTAGAAACATTGATGAAAGAGAAACATCGATGAGAGAGAAACATCGATCAGCTGCCTCCTGCACACTTCCCACTGGGGATGTGCCCGCAACCAAGGCACATGCCCTTGACTGGAATCGAACCTGGGACCTTTCAGGCCAATGCTCTATCCATTGAGCCAAACCGGTTTCGGCTTTTTTTTATTTTTATTTTTTTATTAAGGTATTACATATGTGTCCTTATCCCCCCACCATCCTTTCTTACTTTCAAACTATGTACATCTTTACATGTCAAGTGCATCTCTTAGATCTTGCTTTTTTTTTTTTTTTTTAAATCTAGTCAATCTCTGCCTTTTATTTGAAGTATTTAATCCATTTTTATTTAATGTTTCGGTAGTCCCATCATCTTGCTATTTGTTTTCTGTTTGTCTCCTCTATTCTTCTTTTTGCCTTGTTTGTATTAAGGATATACTTAAAAATATTCTATATTATTTCCTCTATTGACTTTAAAAATATTTTTATTGATCTTTTACAGAGAGGAAGGGAGAGGGATAGAGAGCTAGAAACATTGATGAGAGAGAGACATCGACCAGCTGCCTCCTGCACACCCCCTACTGGGGATGTGCCGGCAACCAATGTACATGCCCTTGACCGGAATCAAACTTGGGACCATTTAGTCCGCAGACCAATGCTCCACCAACTGAGTCAAACCGGTTTAGGCTCCTCTATTGACTTTTAAGCTATGCCCTTTTGTGCCCCCACCCTCGCTCCCCGCTGCATTGTAACTCTACAGATGATAATATGCATCCTTAACTTAGTACCATCTTTCGCAAACGAAAACCCAGGTGTTCATATATTCTACTTCTCTGTGTTGCACATGGCACTCCATGCCTGCTTTTCATCTGTCCACTTAATTCGAATTAACTGCCTCAGACCATGAATGCTTCCAGCTTTTCACGGGGATGGGGGTGGCCAGTCAGGCCTCTCTCTGAGCCTTGCTGTGGTTTGGGCAAATTTTCACCTGTTGATGCATTTTGCGTTTATTTTATGGAGAGTAGACACAGCATAGGATTCATAGCTTGATTTGGTTGAGACCCAGGAAAAATGTCTAGGCAGGCAGCACACAGGGACTCCAGCACACAGGGACTTCCACCCAGCGGTGAGGGAAACAGAACAGGAGGACAGAGCAGGTGTGGAGAGCTGAAGCTGGACTGCTGAAGAAGCATTTGTATACAGGGGTGGTGGGAACGGAGCCAGCCCCCCCCCCCCCCCCAGGTCCCCGGCCCCTTGGAACACAGGGGCTTTCAGTGGATGCCCTGTTGGCCATCTGACCTTTGTACACGACTTCGGACCCTCCCTGAGCAGACCCGTAGGCAGGCACCATACAAATGGCGGACTCGCTGTCTAGCGCTGGTCCTGAGGCTGCCTCTGACCAGCTCGCTGGCCCTGGAGGGCCTCACACCCAGGCTCTGTGTCCAGCCCCCAGGGCATTTCTGCCCGAGATAGCGCCCCTGGGTGCCCGGGAAGGACCACTTCACTCCGGGGGCTAACGCGCCACCTGGAGGACTCCCAGGAAGGCTCCCTCTTCCTCTGCAAACACCTCCCTCGGTCCTGGAAGGCCAGCGCCTGCACTTCTCCCACGGGAGCCTCTGCCCACCATTCCAGGGGAAGTAAAATGAGCTTCCATGTATGTAGAGATGTCCCACCTGCTGACTCTTCCCCATGTTATGGATGAGGACAGTGAGGCCCGGGGGGCTTACGTGACTCTTGGGAGGGGGTTGGCTGGCCCTGAGGCAGGAGCCTCCTTCCTCCCCTCCCCTCAAACCTGGGACCACACGGTCCCCCAGGAGCGGGGACATTCACGGTGTGCTCCGCCCAAGTAATGACAGGTGTCTTTTCTCAATTCTCTACCAGCTCTGACTCCTGAAAAGGAAGTCTGAGCTGGGTGCTAAGGTGCTCAACAGCTCTCACTTGCTGGTCATTTCCAACGTGGCGGCTGGCTGGAAACTCATTGTGGGAAGGGAGGATGCAAAAAAACACGGTAGTTCGGATCCCGTGAGTGGGCAGTGATCGATCCTCCCTTCCTCCAGTTGATGGACAGACGTAAACCCCACCTGAGGCTGGACATTCCTGAGCACCGAACCACCCATCAGCACCTGCCAAATACCCAAAGCCCCTGATTCCTAAGTCCCTAGGTCCCTAATCACCAATCAGCGTGTGCTGAGTGCCCTAAGCCCCGTCCCCTATCCTCCCCTTAAAGGTGCTTGTGCCCCGGCCCTCGCTCTCTTCCACTCTCTCTGGAAGCAGCCGGCAGTGGTACTCTTCTCTTCGGTAAAGCCTGTGTCCTGCCATCCCGGTCTCCGGCCTTCTCTGTTTCATCTTACAGGCAGGGTCTCGGGATAAATCCCACTTCCTGCCCTCCCTGGCAGAGGACCCCTTGGCTAACCCTCCCAGGAATGGCTCTCTTCCTCCCAAGCTGATACGGGATCCTGCCCTCTTCCCACCCCTGCTTCCTAAGGCTTGGGGGGCTGGGGAGGCATGGAAGGTCTGACAGCCTCTGCAGG